TGGCGCGTCACGTTATTGTTATGACTTGAAATGATTGACATGTCATGATAGGTTAACGTTAACTTAACGTTAACATAAGATTAGTTTTTGAGTGATTTCCATTTTAAGATGCTGATCCCCCATCTTTGGTATTGATTTGCTGATTATATAAATACATTTCAAATCAAGCTTTTCTATTTTAGTACGATCGGCAACCAACAAATCTTTTAGTGTTTTAATAAGGAATAGATCAGACACGAGTATATCACGGGTTTTCATATTATGACACAGTTACACAATTCAAATTATTTATATGGAGACTATTCGTCTATTCTGAACAGCAGATAAAATTTTTTGTTACATAGATTAGAAAAATTTCACTCACCAATTAAATGAATATTAATTGAAAGGGGGATTCAATTTCAGTTGTTTTAATTTCACTTGTTAATAACACATGATTGATTATTGATCTTAGAATTTTACATTTCAATTATTGTTCTAACTTATTATTTATCAGTTTTCCATTCAAGTAGAATGGTCGGTTTTGTTCGCACCTTTTGCACCTTTTTATCTACTTTTTCTATGGTTCAAGCACCCTAGTCGTATCAAATTCTGGCCAAATTCTTTTAAGTGATTTTCACGTGAAAATCATGTGATAATCAAATTATAAATTAGCTATAATTTTAGCCAGCACTAAAATATAACAAATTTCTTTAAGTTGATTTGCGAGTACAATATACTGTGTGAAAAAATGAAAATTCGGATAATATAAATTGGATAAAGTAGATCTTTTAAAATAAGATTAACATACTAATTTGCACATTACTCGCATGTGAAAAATTATTCTATATTGTGGCGAATGGCATGCTTTTAAAAGATCTTTTAAGTGAAAGTTATTGTAAAAAAAAAAATGACTTCAATTTATAAATATACAAAGATTGTTGATCTCTCCTTTATAAATAAGCTTCGTTAAAATAAATAAATTTTTTAAATCCAGCTTTTTCTTATTATAAACTGGCCTGGCTAATTAAAATTATGAAAATCAGATACCTTTCTGCTAAGCTGTTATATAAAGTCTAGAATGGTTATTAGCATTAATTTTGAATTTTGTGGTAAATAGGGAATCATAGGCTGTGTATGGCAAGTGATTTTACAGTGCTCACAATCCTTGCAAAATATTTTAAAAATTATTACATATTAATAGGAATATTAATCATTACAAAGTATAACAGATAATGAGCTTTACTGAAACCTATGAAATCGTGGCTATGTAGTAGCCATGCTGCCACCATTTAACGTAGTAGGCGTACGGCTACTCTATGTTAATTCTAACGCAGTTATATGTATTTAATATAGAAAATATGTAGTAAATTATAGTAATAGTATAGAAATTGTATTGCTAATACAAAGAAACTATATAAATGTTAGCAAGAAACTGTATAAATGATTTAAAGTAATGATATATATGATTTGCATTAAACATGTAGTAAATTTATAATAAATTTATATTAACTTTATAATAAATATGCAGTAAATACATAATAAGTATATAGTGAATTTATAGTAAATACATAATAAATATATAACAAATTGCAGTAAATATATAGTAAATTCACAGTAAATACATTAAATATATAATAACAAATTCA